TTCCTTCCTTCCTTCCTTCCTTCCTTCCTTCCTTCCTTCCTTCCTTCCAGCACTGATGACGTTCCCTAGTTCGGTCGTGAGACATCCGCAAGGAAACCACCAAGCTCAGAGAGCATTAAGGATTCCACAGTCCTTCCTCCTCCTCCTCCTCCTCCTCCTCCTCCTCCTCCTCCTCCTCCCCCTCCCTTCTAGCCCTGACGACGTTCCCTAGTTTGGTCACGAGACGTCCCCCACCATGCCCCCTTCTTACCTTCTCCTCGTCCTCCTTCTCCTTCTCCACCTCCTTCTCCTCGTCGTTCTCCTCCTCTGCCTTCTGCTCCTCCTCCTCCTCCTCCTCCTCCACTCCGGCCACAGGTACACAGGTGAGGACGACCACCGGGGGGGTCTCCCCAAAGAAGTAGTAGCCTGTACACTCCAGGACCACCTTTCAAGGGGAAGAAAGCCGGGTGAGAATCAAGATTCGGCTCCACGGAGACCCCCTTCTCCGCTCCTAGGGAGGGACCTAGGTCGCACGCATAAGGTCCCGAGTTCGAGTCACTCACGCGGCCTGCTTGTGAGTAAGCCACGGATCGGTAGGGCACCGTGGCCCACAGATTGGGGACCCCTGTTCTAGAAGAATCTTAGACCAGCTCAGACGGTTCAGCCTCAGCCTCTCCCTCAGCGCAGGTAGTCCTCGCTTTACAACCAACTAACCCTTCTGTCGCTAAGTGAGTTTCGCCCTCCATTTTGCAACCTTCTTAAGCAGGGGTCTTCAAACTGGGCCCTTTTAGGAATCGTGGACTTCAACTCCCAGAATTCCTCAGTCGGCCATTTTGATATAACTGCGGGCTTAGATCCAGACCAGGGGGTCTTCAAACTTGGCCCTTTTGTGATTCGGGGACTTCAACTCCCAGAATTCCTCAGCCAGGATGCTTTAAGACAGAGGTCTTCAAACTGGGCCCTTTTGTGACTCATGGACTTCAACTCCCAGAATTCCTCAGCCAGGATGCTTTAAGACAGGGGTCTTCAAACTGGGCCCTTTTATGACTGGTGGACTTCAATTCCCAGAATTCCTCAGTCGGCCATTTTGATGAAACTGCGGGCTTGGATCCATACCAGGGGTCTTCAAACTTGGCCCTTTTAGGATTGGTGGGACTTCAACTCCCAGAATTCCTCAGTCGGCCATTTTGATGAAACTGCGGGCTTAGATCCAGACCAGGGAGTCTTCAAACTTGGCCCTTTTGTGACTCATGGACTTCAACTCCCAGAATTCCTCAGCCAGGATGCTTTAAGACAGGGGGTCTTCAAACTGGGCCCTTTTGTGACTTGTGGACTTCAATTCCCAGAATTCCTCAGTCGGCCATTTTGATAAAACTGCGGGCTTAGATCCAGACTCTCAGGGGTCTTCCAACTTGGCCCTTTTATGTCTTGTGGACTTCAACTCTCAGAATTCCTCAGCCAGGATGCTCTAAGACAGGGGTCTTCAAACTGGGCCCTTTTGTGACTCGTGGACTTCAAGTCCCAGAATTCCTCAGCCCGGCAGGCAGGCTGAGGAATTCTGGGAGTTGAAGTCCACGAGTCATAAAAGGGCCTAGTTTGAAGACCCCTGTTCTTAAGGCAACCCCTGCCGTCATTAAGTTGGTTACACACGGTCGTTAAGATCGCAAAAGGGGAAATCACTAGACGCCGGGACACTGCGGCCGTCGTAAATCTGAGTCAGCTGCCAAGCGTCGGGATTTCGATCCCGTGATCCTATGGTCGCAACGACGTGTGTGTGTGTGTCTGTGTGTGTCTGTGTGTGTGTGTGTGTCCTCGATTTAACAACCACAACGGAAAGCCCAAATTGCTAAGCGGGACCTTTGTGGAGTGGATTGTGCCCCATTTTGCGACTTCGTCATTAAGTGAATCACTGCATTTGTTAGGTTAGTCCCACGGTCGTTAAATGAATCTGGCTGTAAAATGGACATGTCATTTTTTCAGGACTTTGTAACTTTGGTCACTAAAAGGACCGTCGTAAGTCAAGGACTCCCTGTAAAATGGACATAAGTCACTTTTTTCAGGGCTGTCGTGACTTCGGTCACTAAAAGGACTGTCGTAAGTCAAGGACTCCCTGTAAAATGGACATAAGCCATTTTTTTCAGGGCTCTTGTGACTTTCGTCACTAAATGCACCGTCGTAAGTTGAGGACTCCCTGTAAAATGGACATAAATCATTTTTTTCAGGGCTGTCGTGACTTCCGTCACTAAACGGACCATCGTAAGTCAAGGACTGCCTGTAAAATGGACATAAGTCATTTTTTTCACGGCTCTTGTGACTGGTCACTAAACAGAACTGTCGTAAGTCGAGGACTCCTTATAAAATGGACATGTCATTTTTTTTCAGGGCTGTTGTAACGTGGTCACTAAAAGGATCATCGTAAGTTGAGGACTCCTTATAAAATGGACATATCATTTTTTTTCAGGGCTGTTGTAACATGGTCACTAAAAGGATCATCGTAAGTTGAGGACTCCTTATAAAATGGACATGTCATTTTTTTTCAGGGCTGTTGTAACTTGGTCACTAAAAGGACCGTCATAAGTTGAGGACTTGCTATAAAATGGACACTAAACGGAGCCGTCGTAAGTTGAGGACTAGCTGAACTTTAAGGCAGGGGTAGGCCACCTTGGCTCTTTCATGACTTGTGGACTTCAACTCCCAGAATTCCTGAGCCAGCATGGCTCAGCATGGAAACCTCTCCCTTTCCCCTCAGCATGGCTGGCTCAGGAATTCTGGGAGTTGAAGTCCACACCTCTTAAAGTACCCAAGGCTGAGAAACAGTGGGCTAGGCCAGGGGTAGGCCACCTTGGCTCTTTTATGACTGGTGGACTTCAACTCCCAGAATTCCTGAGCCAGCATGGCTCAGCTTGGAAACCTCTCCCTTTCCCCTCAGCATGGCTGGCTCAGGAATTCTGGGAGTTGAAGTCCACCAGTCATAAAAGGGCCAAGGTTGCCTAGCCTTGCCCAAATGCCTGAATTTTGATCACGTGACCGTGAGGAAAAAATATTTAAACATTTAAACCAGGGTTCTTCAAACTTGGCCCTTTTACGACTGCTGGACTTNGTCACTCACCCCGTCTTCTTGGAAGCCGCATTCCTCCAGGGAACGTTCTTCTTCCACCTGGCACGCCGTCTCCTGGATGGTGAAGTTCAGCTGTTGGCTGCTCTCGGCATTGGGATCCTGAAACAAGACAACGGTGGTTAATTTGGAAACCACCTGGAGTTCCTCCCACGTTCCCTTGGAAGGACGTTGAAGGATTCTTGGTGGAGCCTCCTGAACTAGATGACCTCCCGGGTCCCTTCCAACTCTGTCATTCTATGATTCTGTAAGGGTCTCCTGCTCGAGCAGGGGGTTGGACTAGATGACCTCCCAGGTCCCTTCCAACTCTGTCCTTCTATGATTCTGTAAGGGTCTCCTGCTTGAGCAGGGGGTTGGACTAGATGACCTCCCAGGTCCCTCCCAACTCTGTCCTTCCATGATTCTGTAAGGGTCTCCTGCTTGAGCAGGGGGTTGGACTAGATGACCTCCCAGGTCCCTCCCAACTCTGTCCTTCCATGATTCTGAAAGGGTCTCCAGCTTGAGCATGGGGTTGACTAGGTGACCTCCCAGGTCCCTTCCAACTCTGTTCTAATGATTCTGTAAGGGTCTCCTGCTTGAGCAGGGGGTTGGACTAGATGACCTCCCAGGTCCCTTCCAACTCTGTTATTCCATGATTCTGTAAGGGTCTCCTGCTTGAGCAGGGGGTTGGACTAGATGACCTCCCAGGTCCCTCCCAACTCTGTCATTCCATGATTTTGTAAGGGTCTCCTGCTTGAGCAGGGGGTTGGACTAGATGACCTCCCAGGTCCCTCCCAACTCTGTTATTCTATCATTCTGTAAGGATCTCCTACTTGACCAGGGGGTTGGACTAGATGACCTTCCAGATCCCGTCCAACTCTGTTATTCTATGATTCTGTAAGGGTCTCCTGCTTGAGCTGGGGGTTGTACTAGAAGACCTCCCAAGTCCCATCCAACTCTGTTATTCTATGATTCTGTAGCTTGAGCAGAGGGTTGGACTAGATGACCTTCAAGGTCCCTTCCAATTCTGTCATTCCATGATTCTGTGAGGGTCTCCTGCTCAAGCAGGGGTTGGATTAGATGATCTCCAAAGTCCCTTCCAACTCTGTTATTCTATGATTCTGTAGCTTGAGCAGAGGGTTGGACTAGATGACCTTCAAGGTCCCGTCCAACTCTCTTATTCTGCAATTCTGTCTCCTGCTTGAGCAGGGGGTTGAACTAGATGACCTCCCAGGTCCCTCCCAGCTCTGTTATTTCATGATTCTGCACGGATCTCCTGCTCAAGCAAGGGGTTGGACTAGATGACCTCCCAGCTCCCTCCCAGCTCTGTTATTCCATGATTCTGCATGGATCTCCTGCTCGAGCAGGGGGTTGGACTGGATGACCTCCCAGGTCCCTCCCAGCTCTGTCATTCCATGATTCTGCATGGATCTCCTGCTCAAGCAGGGGGTTGGACTGGATGACCTCCCAGGTCCCTCCCAACTCTATTATTCTGTAATTGTGTCTCCTGCTTGAACAGGGGGCTGGACTAGATGACCTCCCAGCTCCCTCCCAGCTCTGTCCTTCCATGATTCTGCATGGATCTCCTGCTCGAGCAGGGGGTCGGACTAGATGACCTCCCAGGTCCCTTCCAACTCTGTCATTCCATGATTCTGTATGGATCCCCTGCTCGAGGAGGGGGTTGGGCTAGATGACCTCCCAGCTCCCTCCCAACGCTGTTATTCTGTAATTCTGTCTCCTGCTTGAGCAGGGAGTTGGAGTAGATGACCTTCAAGGTCCCTTCCAACTCTGTTATTCTGTAATTCTGTGGGGGTTGGACTAGATGACCTCCCAGCTCCCTCCCAACTCTGTCCTTCTATGATTCTGTAAGGGTCTCCTGCTCAAGCAGGGGGTTGGACTGGATGACCTCCCAGCTCCCTCCCAACTCTGTCCTTCCATGATTCTGCATGGGTCTCCTGCTCGAGCAAGGGGTCGGACTAGATGACCTCCCAGGTCCCTCCCAACTCTTGTCATGGAAACCTACCCACTCGGGCTGAGGCTCGGCCTCCCGGAGGCGGTAGAGGGACTCCTCGCCGGCCTTGCTGTTGTAGATGCTCACGGCCAGCTCCACGGCCTCCCCGTAGCTCAGGGGCCTGTGTGCGAGGCAGGACGTCCCGCAGACGGTCACCACCAGCCAGATCTTCCAGAGCAAGCCGTCCATCCTCGCTGCTGCTTCTTCTGATGGGATTCCCCGGGGATCCGGCAGGTCTCCTTTTATTTTACACCCTGGAGTAGGCGGGTCCTCGCCTTCCTGGATGGGTGACCAGGGATTTTCCCTCTCCCCACCCGCCGTGGAATTATTCGGAGGTCCTTCCTCAAAATGAGACACTCCTTCTTCTTTTTTTTTTTATTGACCAAGGGGCAGAGATGAAACTCCGGTTTGGAAACTTGAACGGCGCTCCTCCGGTGGGCTTCTGGCCGGGTTCCAAAATCCGCAACCTGGGCAGTTTGTGGTTTGCGCAACCTGGGCGATTCCCCCACCACCATCCCGGGACTGGGGAAGCTTGGAGAAGGGGTGGTAGGGGTGGGGTTGTGTGTGTGTGTGTGTGGGAGGGGGGGGCAGTTGAAGAAGTCCAGGCATCTGAAGAGGCTCTTTGGATGGAGGAGGAGGAGGAGGAGGAGGAGGAGGAGGAGGAGAAGAAGAAGAAGAAGAAGAAGAAGAAGAAGAAGAAGAAGAAGAAGAAGAAGAAGAAGAAGAAGAAGAAGAGGAGGAGGA